TCTCAGGCATTCCTGAGGATGAAGAAGTAAAAGCATAAGGTCTGAAAAACCTATTTGAGGGAATAATTGAGGAAAATTTCCTTCATCTTGGTAGAGGTTAAGACATACAAGAAGCCTGGGAGATTCATTGCAAAGAGGGAATCACCAAGATGTAACATCATCAAACTGGCCAAAGTCAACCTAAAGGAGGAATGTGTTTGTTTGTTTTCAATTCTTGTGTTTATTTTCTAACAAATCTAATGCTCTGTTCTCAAATATAATTTTTTTTAATGTTTATAGAGTTGTTCACTAAAATATCAACTAGATTATTTTATTATCCTGGCAAAACATGAAGTAGTAAGTCCCTAAGACTTTTAGGATTAAATATGGACTTATTAAGTTGACAGTGTAGGCAGTAGTGTTGGCATCATTGCGCACTATATTTGTATTTTTTTCAGAAAAAATATAATTATACAAGTGGTTAATTTAAAGATAAATTATAGGTTTGTTAACAGGGAAGAAATGAGACAAAATAGTTTATAGAAGATAAATCTGAAAAAAATATGCGGAAATGACCCATGTAGTTGAACCTATATGAAACACTTGTATTAATTAGGTTTTTGGTTAATAAAGTACATTCTAGGGAGTTGAAGAAATGGAAGGCAGTAACATTTCAAGAAACATTTCAAAGGAAACATTAAGAAGACTTAGCATTCAATTGGAGAAGAGTGGACCTCCAGAGAGAGAAATCAAAGTCAAACTTAACTTTTCAGTTCTGGAACTGAGAAAATCATGTTATAATAAAGAGATTTAAAAACTAGATAGAAGATCTTATGAAACAAAATCATGTCATGTTTTTGATGGTTTTATTTTTAAGTGACAATGAGACTTTCAAGTGCAAATAAAGAGCTAGAAATACAAAACTAGACCTTGAGGTCAGAGCTAAGAATATAAATGTTACCAGCATGGATGTAATATTAATAACAATTGAACTGAAGTAACAAAGGAATATTTTGATGGCACTATAAGAAGAGAGAAATATAGAGCGACAAGAACTAAGTCATGTCTTCTTTCTTTTTCATACTGCTCTTCTTGATTGGAACCCCCAATGTTTTGAAGACCCAGATCACATATTGTAAATTTTTTAAGTTTTTTCTACTTTTTTCACTAAATAATAGATAGATATCTTTCTCATTTATGTTCCCATACAATTTTTTTCTTCAATAAAATGTTTGTTCAAATCCTTATATAGTTTGTTATACATATATTGCTATTTCTCATATTATAGTAAACTCCTTAGAGTAGCTCACCTTGAGCTTTTACCCTGATTGCCAGTTCACCCCACCAGAGTTTATGGATTCTGGCCATCATTTTATATGCTGACTTGCCCATTAAAATTATAAATAGCATCTCAATCCTACTAAAACCCAATACTTCTTTACATACTTATTTATCTTGCCATTCAAGCTTCAGCATAGTTTCTTGAGAAAGAAAAATGCCTTTTTGAATGTTATTAAATTGGATATATTTAGAATGTTTATTAAAATAATAAGGTTTGTGCCTCATCACACAAAAAGTACCTTTTATCTGCAGGGGTTATGTTCCAAGATTCCTAGTGGATGCCTAAAACCATGGATAGTGTGAAACCTATGTCAATTATTTTCTTTCATATACATATATCCCTATGATAAAGTTTAATTTGTATATTTATGTGCAATAATAGATTAATAATAGTGATTAATAAAATAGAACATTTATAACAATATAGCGCAATACAATCATACAATTTATGTTAATATGATCTCTCTCCCTTTCTCTCTCTCTCTCTCTAAATATTTTATTGTATGTAGTATTTTGGCATCAAGGTTGATAAAAGGTAACTGAAATCATGGAAAGGGTAGCTGAAGTCATGGGAAAAGTAATTGAAATGATGGAAAGCTAAATCCTGGATAAAGGGGGGACTATTCTATATATTAATGGGAATTTGTCTGAGTCATGTTCATTCATGATTATTTTTATAGAATTTACCAAGTACGCTGATTTTCTATTCTCTTAAATGGCAATTTTTCTTCTTCTATATTCTTTTTTTTCCTGTTACCAAGTTGTGATTTGACTGAATTCTTAAACCTATTCATTTTCTCCTAAACTTCATTTCAGCTGATGAACTTCTAAAATAGCAACCATCAGGACAAATCTACCTCATCTTCCCACCAACACATTTGCTAGTGGGTTTTCCTGATTTTTCACTTTCTTGTGTGACTGTAGACTACACATCTCTGATCCCATCTAAGACTAACCATTCTGAATTTCAAACTCTCTCACTTCAATCACCAATTTCCCCTTTCACTCACCAATTTTCACTCTCTTACTATATCATTCTCATTAGCAATCAAACATGGTATATTTAATCTTAAAAAAGAGATTATTAACCATTGATCTCACATCTTCCTCTAACTACCACACCATATGTCTACTTCACAACAAAGATTCATGAAAGAATTAGATAAATTTGGCTCTTTCCCCATAGTAGGTTTCCATTCCAGAAAACCCATGACAATTTTTCTAATAAATATATCAATGACTACCTCTCTTATTTAACCTGTCAGGAAAAATCAGTGTAACTGACATCTCTCTGCTTCTTAAAATTCTTCCTTTTCTTTACTTCTGTTACACCATACCCATCTGTATTTCCTTTTACCTTACAGGGCAAGCCTGCTTCTCTCTTGGGTTTGATCTCTAAATGTCAAAGTGTCCAGAGTCTTTGTCCTCAGCCCCTTTCTTGTTTTCTATCTCTGTGTGATACCATTTGATTCTAAGGTCTTAAATACTATTCATTTCCTACAACTTCCACTTATATCTAAAGCTCTGGACACACTCATAGACTAAAGATTGGTATCTCTAACTGCCTATCTGACTTGCACATTAAAATTACAAACAGCACCTCAAACCTACTAAAACCCAATACTTCTTTACATACCTATAATCCCTCAATGTCCCAACCTCAGCTAATTGATCATTGTTCACCAAGTTTTGTTCAATGCAATACAAGATACTCTTGATCTTTATTTTCTCTAATTTCCTATATTTGATGCAATTCTGATTGATTATTCTCCCAGAACATAATAAATCTGTCCAACCTACTTATCCTAGTTTATAGATATTGCCTACATTAATCACTTTAGTTACAAAGCTTATTTCTGTTTCTCCAATAAACCATACTAGTTTTTAAATAGCATTTATTTTAGCTGTTTCTTCTGGCTGTAAGTTTCTTATCCTTGTTCTTTGCATAATTGGCCTGTCACTGATATCCAAATCTTAAATTAAGCCTCACCCTAACTTAACCTATTTTAATTTAAATTGAACCAGAAAGAGGTTGACAAAGACTCTCTCCTTGACCAAACTTTAGACAGTTTCCTCTGAGCTCTATTCTTAGCTAAGCCTTGACTTTGGCCTCTGTCCTTGCTGTGCCCCTAGCTCAGTTTTAGTGAGAATCATGGTAAGACAGTTTTAAAGAGAACCCCCAATCTGTGCTATCTGATCACCTATGATATCTGATCAAATTCCCCATCCTACACTTTTGAAGCCTGATCACCCTGGCTTTGCCTTCAGCAAGAATCATATTAGGTCAGTTTAACTTCCTACCCTTGATGCCCCCTTTTAATAATTGTTCACCCATTGACCCCCTTCACTCTGCTCTTTGGCTGTAAACTCCCAGCTGCCTTTGCTGCATTTGGAGCTGAGCTTGACCTCTGTCCCATATTGCAACATTCTTATTGTAATAGTCTTGAGTAAAGTCTTCTTAACACTTTAACAAGTGTCGGAATAATTTTTTCTTTAATGAGATGTAATCACATCATTCAATGCAAAGTAGTCACTAGTTACTATCATTCAATTCATATCATTTTATATCTCTATATAGCACTTACACTGTCAGGTAGTGTTAATATTCCTTTGTACCTTTCTATTCTTTATTTTCTCCTTCTTTCCTTCACTATGTCTCCAATGATTGAAGAGTGGTTTCAAACAAAAACTTGTTAAATAAATCAATGAATCATTACAAAATCCAAATACATATTCATATAGGGATAAGGATAAAAGAGCTAAATTTTAGAATAAAGACAAAGAGATATTTTCCATAGTCGAAAATACTACACAGGACATTATAAATAATATGATTGATGGGGGTGGTATGGATTTAGGGTAGTTATTAAATGAATAGGTAGAAATCACTAATTATCACCTTCCAAATTAATCTAACCTCTCTTAATGCTATTCAAATTTATACCCTATATTTAATAGAAATAGGACATTAGACATATTTGTTTCTTAGATCTTACAAATAAAATCATACAAAGAATGCTTATTCCAGGATTTTTAGTACATCTTAAAATTCATTTTAAAACCATTTAATGAAATGATTGTTTACTGCTGTTACAGATAATGTAGCATAGAGATGGATGACGAGTTGATTGATCACACCACTAGCTCAGTAGTAACCACTTCTTATTTGAGTCACCACAAGTCCATGCATCTCTTCAATTTTTTATGTCCATGACTACAATTGTATATATTGTTCAGGGTAATTAAGCTTTAGGAGATTAATTGATCCATGGACCTGTTATCATAACCTGTATAATTATTTATTTATTTGCAATGAAAGTTTAAGAGAACACAAATATATTTTCTTTTGCCCATAATAAAACCTACTTAGGAAAGCTACTATTTTGGAACTTTCTTATTAAAGCTATATTCAGAGCAGATATTAATAACAGCAAATAGACTAGTATAGTCTCATGTGCTTAGCTCTATGACAAGTCAAAAAGTTAAGAAATTATAAAAAAGAAAGGAAGGAAGGAAGGAAAGAAGAAGGAAAGAAACATAGAAGAAAAGAGCATAATCCTATTTTCCAGAATATAAAATGTAAGTTTCAAATGTAAGTTTTCAAAGCTGCTGAAGTTGAGCTGCTATGTTTCATTTTGATTTTACAAAATATTAATAACATTTTCTTTCCTGTTTTCAAGACATTCTGAGGCCACGTTTCACCAGAAATATCACAAGGTAATGTTGTTGGGGCCTTTTTGTTTCTATTGTTTAGCAGTGTTGTTTATTTTACTATGTGATAAGTGGGAGAACAAATTATCAAGAGCATGATACGTAAATTTACACTTGAAGTTAATCTGTGTCTGGGAACTTAAAGTGCAATTACACTTATTGAGTTTGTTTGGTTTAATATACTGACATCTACATATCTGAATAACTGCTCAAAATGAGATTAATCTTGTAGGGTAAATATGTACTTGAAATACTCATGTGGCCTAATCAGAACTAGGTCAGGTTTGAAATACATCTTGTTAGTGATGTGTTTTTCTAAGGCTTAGCTGTGCCTTTCAAAAAGAAAGAAGAAGGGGAGAGAGTAGATTTCAGTTGTCCTGTGGAGTTCCCCACAGATTTCCCTGGTGGAGAGAAAGAGAATAACAAACAGATTGGTTCAAATTGCTCCTATTGATTTGTTGAAATTTACACTGTGCTGCTGAAGTTGTGCTGCTATATTTCATTTCGATTTTACAAAATATTTATAATAATTTCTTTCCTATTTTCAAGGCATTCTGAGGCCACATTTTGTCAAGTGGACTATCACAAGGTAATGATATTGGGGCTTTTTGTTTCTATTGTTTAGCAAAATATTTTATATCTGTATGTTAAAGAAGAAAGTCTCATTCAAAATCGTTTTCTAAACTACTATGGCTAATTCAAAAGACTCACATTTCTTTTTACTTCTCTAATAGTAAAATGTAAGGCAAAAAGCCCTGAGGGTCCTTTCTTCTATTGTCTTGCCCTTTGCTGCCACTAGGAAGCAATCACTTTAAGCAATGCCATGACAGTGAAGTCAGTAGTCCACCCAGCATCATCGTTTAGTGTCAGGATGTACAGAAGAAGTCTGTGGCAAGTTTAATGGAGACTTTGTTGAGATATTAATCTTTCGTAGTACTGTCTTATTGAACTAGTAGATTCCATCAGTCGATCTTTAAAAATAATTTCCCTAAGGTCTGATTGAACATGGCTGAGTCCAAACGAATCATGTTTGTGGGAATATGCAATGGACCAAGGAACCAAAATAAAACAGGGGCATAATATCTGAGAAAAATATGTAATTAATTCATGCATATCTGTTATTTATTTGTTTTAGAATATTTAGAGTGCTCCCTATATTCTAGGTTGAGGGGTATAACAGTGTAAAATTTCTATTTCTCTTCCTCTTTCAATTTCGGATGTCGGATGTGTGTGTGTGTGTGTGTGTGTGTGTGTGTGTGTGTTACATATATAAAATCAGCCTTGCAATGATCCATAGGCCTGTGAAGTCCAGCCATGTTGAACACTCAGGAACTCATCAGCATTTTCTTTCGACTAATGATGTGATGCGTCCCAGATGTTAAGTGGACCCATTCCCAGATGTCCTCCATAGCAAGCAATCACAGATCTAATGAATTGTAACTTTGTAAGGTGTGTTTTTAAGATTAGTGAAGTAAATGGAGTGTTGGAAAGATTCAGTTAGGAGGTGGGAAACATATGTTTGTTTTAGGGTCACTTTTGAATATGTGTGAGGGCAATAGAACTTCCAAACTTATTTTTTAAGTCTATTTTCATTGGTGGGTTGTATAAGTAGCCATGGGATTTGATTTTTCATAGGTTCGTTACTGAAACACAAATACAGATTACCATGTTACAAACATGGTCCCTTTTTTTAGTATTAGTAAATACACATTTTTAAAACCTTCTTTAATCAATTTTCAGAAGTTCATCATTTCTAAACATGAATCTTTCAGTTTCACAAAGCTCCAAATGTAGTGAATGCATGTATGTATATGTGGGTACATTTAAACAATTGCAATCCACTTAAATAAAAATAAAAAAAAATTCAATGTGCACCAATGTTTTGCTTCATTAGGAGATCAAGTGCCTGAGAATACCTGCTTAGTTTCTAATGAAAAGCTACAGAGGCTCCAAACCTCACTTCCAGAGAAGACCCACGGGGCGATTTGGACCATCACTTATCTACTGAGTGAATCTGCCCTTAGAGAACTCGAGGCTTCTCTTTTGTATCCCCCTCATTCATCACCTTTCAGAAAACACTCAGGGCCCAGTGACAAAAAGGGATTACTAACATTGCTTAAGCTTTTTTTTTTTTTTTTCGTGCTTCTCTGTTTGTAGACTTTAGATACACATATAAAACACTTAAATAAATTTTAAAATTCTTAGGATCGTTCATAACCATTTAACCCAAACTTTTATTGAAATACTTAAGAATTTTCAGCATATCAGAGGGAAAGACACTTATTCTAAAATCATAAGTAAGACTTGTAGCTCTTGACACAGGTAAAGTATATGATTACATTGAAAATCAAATAATACATAGTAATGAAAAGTCACCTTATGAAATACATTTTCCATTCGTTTAACTTTTGTGGGCATTCTGATTTTATTTTCAAAATATATGACATGTGCCTTAACAATAACTTTTAAACAACTCCAGAATGGTTGCTGAAAATATTATTCAACACAAAGTATATAATTTGATTCACAACAGGGATTTATCTGGAAAGAAAATTCTAATAAATCTTCCATCCCACTGGGTCAGTTTGACAAGTGCAATAACAAAAGCTGCAGTTGGCAGGCTCTACAAGTGATATCTTGGCCTACGACCATCACTGTGGCCATAGGACATGAATTATCTTCTGTAAAGCTTAATAATAAAAGTTACTATCTTTGACCTTTGAGGAGATATTCATGAATAGGCAAGAATTTTTGATTGCCTGAATTATAAATTATTTTTAACTACTTCTTCATTTTAGGCATTTGGATAATTGACATTTGAGGTATTTATCATTCAAAGCCTATTGAATGATAGTTAAAGTAATTAATCTTTTTTTACTTGAGAAGGTATACATAATTTAGGATGGAAAAAATCTGTCTCTATTTCTTATTGTCCTCCTGAGGAAGAAGCAGGCAGCAGCAGAAAAAACACAGAAGACGACAAGAAACTACAAAAAAAGTCCTGAGATAGAAAATATACAAAGTCCTTAAAGTGATTGCCACTTGATTGGCAGAAATGTGAAGTACTTCCCAGTCACTCTGCCCATTGTTCCATGCTGTGTTCAGCAGTGCACGGCAGAGGAGATGTCAACACCCTAGGGATCATTGTGAAATTCAGGGGGGCAGTGTTGCTTGTCATAAGATTTGGGCACTTTACTGGCATGTCGTAAGCACTAGCTAGGGATGTTCGATCTACCACAAGGAATGGTTATAACCATGACATTCAAGAAGGAAATCCTACTTATAATTACAAAACAATATTAGCTGGATGTGAATATACATTATATTTCTCCTAAATAAAACTATTGTATCCATCTTAGAAATTATACTTTGTTATATTAGCAGTTTTATCAGTAAATATTCATCATTGAGAAAGACTGAAACCTTCGGTATAATTCATTTGTTTCAGTCTAAATTTTTAGCAGTTGCATTTATGATTATTTGACATATATGTGCAAATACCTGATTCCTTCACTACATCTTCTAGTGGTATCATGTTCAAGTATTTACTTAATGAAATACTTGTTATTTCAAATATTTATTTTTATATATCTTCTAAATAATCATGAGCATGTGTATTATTTTGAAAATATGTAAATAGATTTCTTATTTTGTTTATAAGCGTTATTTCAGGAGAGTAAAAAAGGACTTTCGATACATTTCTTTTAGAACAGCATCACTGCATGTGATAGGTTGAGAGCCAATGTTGATAGAGGATGCTCAGAAAAACAGGTGCTGCAAAGAGTCGTGGAACTTGAGTTGGGTCCGAAAATCGGGATTACAATCTTGGCTCTGCTTTGTAAAATGTTCTGTCTCATCTGTGAAATAAGAATGGTTCCATTTAGTTCACATATCTACTGTAATTTACATGACTGACATGAAATTCTGTATGTGAAAGTTAACTTTGTACATTTTAAAGGAGGATGCAAATGAAGCTTTCCTTACTATTATTCAGTAAATACAGACAGTCTCCAATTTATGAAGGTTCAACATACAAATTTTCAATTTTATGATGATATTTTCAACTTACAATGGGTTTATGAGGATGTAACCCCATTATAAGTTGAGAAGCATCTGTACTGCAAGTACACTTCTTATTTCCATGAGTTTATTTGACTTCAAAGATGAACAGAGTAATCTTCTTATCACAGACTTTGGGATTAACCACAATAAAAATAACTAAACTTTCTCCAGTTCTTAATTAGCATTTCTAAGCCCATGTTTAGTACAAGGCATTGCCCAAAGTCTAGAGGATAGAAAGAAAGAATATGACAAATGTATTTTGTAGTCCAGTTACTTTTATCATCTGTACATAGTTAAATTTAGCATCTATAAACAAAAATTTACATCAATTGCTACTTTCAGCACCTTTTGTAAAGGTTAAATTCACCCACTCCTCTAATCTCTGTTGACTTTTACTTTGAGAACATTTATATTTAAAGTAATTATCAATATGTGAGTATATAAGTAAGTCTGCCATTTTATTATTTGTTCTCTTTTTTTCCCCTATACTTTTCTATTTTCTGTTTCACATTTCTTATTTTACTGTGGTATATTTGAACATTTTTTAGGTTTCAATCTTGATATTTTTAAAATGTTTCTCTTTGTATAATTTACATAGTATTTCCCTTTGCTATTATAACATACATATGGGACCTAGTAAGAGTCTATTGGCATCAATATTTTATCACTTTGAGTCAATGGTGGATGCTCACTTCTGTGTAGGTTCTTTTATCTTTTCCAATTTTAAATATTATTTTCTAATATTAGAAGTTGTTATAATTTTTGCTTTAATAAAAATCATCAAATATGATCTATACAATGTATGAGAAAAAATAAGCTACTGTTATGTAATCTCTTTTCTACTCTTTGTTCTTGGTCTGAGATTCCTTGTTTTATCATTTCATGTTTGAAGAACTTACTTTAGATAATATGTAAAGATAGGATAGGTAAAGCACCCACACATTTTTTAGGTTTTATTTTAAAGTCTAAAAATATTTTTATTTACCTTCATTTTTTTTAAAACACTCGACTATTTTCAGAGGAGTTTTATGTTCACAGCACAAATGACCAAAAAGTACGGAGATTTCCCATATGCCCCTGCTCCATATGTGCACAACCTCCACAACCATCCAAATCCCACACGAGAATGGTACATTTATTATAATCAATGAATGTACTACATTAGCACATCATTATCACCTAAAGTGCATCTTCTACATTAGGGTTCACTCTTGGTGTTGTACATTCTATAGGTTTTGAAAAATGTATGATGTCATGTATCTACCATGATACAGAATAGTTTCACTGCCTAGGATGGCTAATTTTGTGTCAACTTGCCCAGATAGTTGTTAGAACATTATTTATGTGTATGACTCTAAGGGTGTACAGAGAAAAGATTAGCATTTGAATCAGTAGATGAAGTAAAGAAGATCTACTCTCACCAACATTGGCAGATATCATCCAATCCAATGAGGGCCTAAACAGAACAAAAGGAAAAGGAAGGGTGAATTCTCTGCCTATTTTCTTCAGCTGGGAAATCCATATTTT